CTTTAAACACATACACGATAACATGTTTACATATTTATACTATTTAGGAGCTTACGGACGAGGTATATTCTCAACTCAACGATATAGATGCAGATTGTTGGGCAAAGGTCTACTTTTTGGAGAAGCATTGTCGGCTGACAGAATTTAGCATCAAATCACCGTCACTTATCATTGATGGGTATCGATTCCAGTACCCCGGCAGGTAAGATTGATACACTATACGCAGGATATGCATTAGGCCTACCCCATAAAGTAGAATTAGAAAACTTACAAAATCAATGGAGCTTATTCGAAAACAAAAATAAAAAGACATTTTAATCGTGAAATTCGAATAACAGTTCCATATAGAGCCAATTGTGTCACGCCACGTAGACGTACATCACACTACACATCGACGTTTTTATATCTTCTTGATTATATTAACACATCTATTTTCAAGCATAATCATCTACCATCATGCACATATGTCTTGCATACTTCTTCTAATCTAAATTATATTTTCAAGAAAATAGTCCCTGCTATGGACATCCACATACTGATGAATGTAATTCAATTATTCATTTCAGATTTAATATCAGTATAACATAAATACAAAGAATAACAATTACTACTGTGTGATACATAGAAGAAAATTGGTCGAAATGATCTATGCCTCTTGCTATATCAATACATCAGTCTTGAACTTTGGTGAAGTTAAGACAATCGCGAGTTGAATTTATATAATATTAATTTGCATTGTTCTTATGTTTTTATTCTAGGCTTGGTTTTGGTATTTTGAGAAACCCGCTACGAGACCAACAGACGGAAAAAGTGCGAGCACACATAGGAAGAGGAGTGCAGCTGGAGGTTGATCAGGAAGGCAATGTTTGGGCAACTCGACTAGGGAAGAACGAAGTGTTTGTCAAGGGATCTTTTGAACCGCAAGACCATTGTCTGTCACCAGCACTCGTCGAGAATATGGGTCATTTGGAAGTTAATCAACCGTTAAAAGTAATATTATATTTTAAACAAATCATCATTAATTATTATTAACAATATTTATATTAATCATCAAAATTAATCGTTTGTTATGGATAATTTATATTGTATTATAAAATATTTATCCAGGATTAAACAGCCGAGAATGAAGCTTGTTTAATTTGTGGTTCATTTTTATTATTGGACAGTGAAAGAGTACGATTGATTGAATAATTTTTCATTTTCAATACT